TTTTTTTCCGTGATTGTGAGGCACACACAGGACTGAAAAACCAAATACAGAAATAATAGTTGCCAACGAATAAAGTCCAAAATTTAAAAGGGGAAAGGACCAAAGTTGAAATATCATGCTTCAAAAAATTCGTGGGCCGGTGATCTTATTGGATTTAGTAAACTATAATTTTGCGCTCACTCTTCCTGCTTCGATGCACAATTCACCATGAAAAAGCTCGCTAAAATCCTTCCCTAACATGGACCTGTGACCCCTGTGATAGCACGAGAAACGCTGTCGGGTCGAAACACGGCCTAGATATGGTGTACATAGTAAGGGTCCGAAAATCGGCTTTGTCGACGTACACACCTGAATCGAAAGAGTTCCCACGATGTTGTGGAGGCTATAGCGACTGCACCATTCGCACCGGGACGCACACTTTGCACGCAGGCAGCTTACTGTAGCCAGCTGTACGCAATGGCTCCCACGTTTAAGTTCAAAAAGAAATCCATGAAACCATGAAACTGCCATCGGTTCGTGCTTGCTCTCTTTCGAATCGATGGCCTTCATGAAATACAAAGAATTAAAGAAGACCTAATAAGATGTTAATAATAAATATGTTTTATGGCTCAGATAGGAAGCAAGGAAGTTGAGTCGATAAAGGTCGATGAAGAAAAAGCTCCGGAAAATGACTTAATGAGATCATTCATTCTGGATTCTTTATACGAATTAGCCAATTGTAGTTGGATCGTTATCTTTTTTTACGATTCAGTTAGAGATTTTCAGGTTGTGCGTGAAATTCGCTTTCGTGTCGAGCAAGCAACAGGGCTCACGTGCAGTGCTGGTTAGCCCGATTTCTAAGTCTTTTCAAACTACCACTGATCTATGTCATTGTTTTATGTGAAGACGAAGTCCCAGCAAGAGGTCTTTTCGAAAAAAAAANCGCTGTTCGAGCTTGAACCCTGCCTTTACATTGAACATATTTGATTACCATACCTTTCCTGTCCTCTATATAATCATGTTCATCTGAGCCAAACCTGTTCATCTGAGCCATGATCGCTAATGGATGGCGATAATTTGGGAATTGTAAGATAAAAAAAATATATTAAGAAGCATCAGAATAAACACTTGATATATTACGTTTGTCAGGTGTTGGACTTCTGGAAGCGACAACAGCATGCGGACTCGAACAGTATGGGTGAAGATGAGGCGTCGTCCTCGTCTTCTGTATCGGATCCATCATGCTCTTCAGAAGAGAGAGTTTCGTGCCCAATTTGTGGATGCCTTCTAAGGAACGACGACAGAGTGGTGAATCAGCACGTGGATGAATGTTTGAACGCTTCTATGCTTCTGCAAGAAGACTCTGCAACGAAACCCGAACCAAAGGCTCCAAAGAAACGGAAAGCGACGATTGAGAACTTCTTAGTGAAAAAAGATCGGAAATAGATGTACAGATGTATACTTGTTATCAATAGAGTTCACTTAGCTTTGTGTTCTCGTATTGTGCCCGTAAGGCTGCGCGAGCGTGAAGCATCAAGGGCTCGATCTTGAAGGCTATGTTCACAGGAGAAGCCGCTCTCGGTTCTACGCTAAGTATGATTGCTTCCTACCTCAATGGGACCACTTTGTCCAAAAAAAAAACCATGCCACAGAAAATTAACCTGGAGAATGATCTGATTTTCGCACCACCAATTAGCTCCGTNAAAAAAAAATCTTCGTGCTTGGCGTTTTGCTATAAAAGGGAATTTTGGACTGGGAAGGCTTGAATATCTATCGATCACTACTTAGCTAGCTGTTAGGTGCACGAGCAGGATCATAGTAATCCAAATCCTCTATTTACTCGTTCATTACCAGAGTTTCTCTTGATCAAATGTCTCTTTTCAGGTATTGCTCCAAACTTTAGATTAGCAAAGATTTGCTCTGACATGAACAAACCCAATGGCCAGTACGAGCTAGCGAATAATTATGAGAAAGTCATGGAATTCCTTAGTACTCTTCCAATACGAAAGGTATCTTTTTGGGCTTTATTATTTCGACATTTTTTGGAAGAAATACTAGCGAAAACCTTTTTCGTGTAACATTTATAATTGTTTTGAGCTTTCATACAGGTTTGTGGGATTGGACGAGTATCTGAGGCTCTCCTACAAGCATGTGGTATTTGCACGGTTGGACAGCTACTGGAGAGACGGGCGGCGCTAAAATTTTGCTTCTCAGAGCTTTCTCAGGTATGCCAAACAGTAAAGACTGATGACTAGGACTGAGAAAAAATCAAAGCTAATTTTTTTGCTACCCTCGCTTACCATAATTCGTTTATGGAAGGAACGAACGAGACCCCTTGAGGTCATTTAAGGAGTGTTTTCTGCGCGTTGCTCTCGGTTTACCTGGTCGTCCTTCGTCATCTGATCCTCGGAGGAAGAGTATTTCTACTGAAAGAACGTTCACGCCAACTTCTAGTCGCGAGGCCTTGATAGAAATTATGGAGGATGTTTGCGACATGCTTGTTGAAGATATGAAACGTGCAGGAGTTGTCGGTGAGTTCCTATAAAATCGGTCATGAGTGCCCTTCAGATTCAAATTCTTCGTGGCCCTTCGGTGATGACCGAGACACAAACATATCGGTCCCTATTGCTAGTTTTAATGTTCTTAGTTGCTTTATGGAATTCAGGTGGTCGCTGTGTCACTCTGAAGTTGAAGCTGTCGTCGTTTGATGTACTGACACGTTCTGAGACGCCAGGACGGCTCGTTTCAAGCCGCGAAGGTTCGTACTATCATAGGACCAAAAAGATAAGAAAAATCCTGAATACCAGATAACCATTTGGCTTAGATTTATCTGGGTTCTTTCTGCGAATTTGTGGATTTTTAAGAGATTCTTGCGATTACTGGTGAGACGTTAGACCGCGAACTACCAAATGAGTTTCGTCTACTTGGAATACGTCTCAGTAATTTACAATTTGAAGATGAACGAGCCTCAGGAGAGCCAATTTCGGTGAGTTCAGCTTTGTTTATTGGGAATGCTTATGTTAGATATTCGAACAGTTTGAACATACGGAGCGGCCTACTTGCAAGGAAGAATCATTAAGAGCTGCTATCTCCTCTAGCCATAGGTGCTGTTCACAAAAATTATAATTCGGAAAAAGTATTTGGCCTTGTTGAGCTCCTGTCACCTCCGCTTCGAGAGAAGATAGGAACTCTCCCGCCCAAAATTGCGATATCCTACTAACACCAATTCTACAAAATCGCGTTTCTACGTTTGGGCTTACCAAATATAGTTTATTTGGCACAAGAACCCTATCGAGTGCGCCCAGGGAATACGTCTATGTGATAGGAATTCCCTTTAGTTTCCTGAGATAGCTATGCGATATCCTGCTAACACCAACGATAACTATATGTACTGAGAACCTTATATTATAATTTATAATTTAATTGCACTGCTGGCTGGTATGCCCTGTTGAAATGAGGTGAGCGCCATCGGACTATCGCTATCTTGAGAATTTGTCAAGCAATTGAGGCCTTGTTCCATTTTTCTACCACTCATTTTGATTCAAATTTTGCTCGGCTCACTGAAAGCTAGTCAAAACCCTTATTGCCATCAGTCTAAACTTATCCGACAGTTAGGCTCTTCTTTCTTTGGTATCATTCGGCATCCTCAATCGTCTCCCTATCGAGTTACCTTGGTTGGTAGTGGCCCATTCTTTTTTGATGTGGTGCATTGTACTCCATTCGCTTGAACAGAACCTGGTGCTTTTTGTGAGATATAAGAGAAGTAACACTGAACAAGTATCAGAAGCGATAAACAAAATTTTATAGAATGTCCAAACCTACATCCTATTCAGGCTTAGATTTGCACGTTTTTTAACATTTAGTCAGAGCGAGGGCGGAGAAGGTGTAGTGGTAAGTGGGGCAGTGTCACACACTCGCCTAGCCCAACCAAGCCTTCTATTCCTTCGGGGTCGGTTCATTGGTACAAGACTCGCCTGGGAGAGTAAAAGTACTACTTGTGCATCGAATTACCACCACATTTCATTTTATGCCATTCAAATCAGCACTACGGTTCTGAATGGAAGTTGAATGTGGGGCACATCCTACAGCCGAGGTTGATATACACCAGCGACTTCATTCTTTTTCGTTTTATCCGAGAGCGACTTCTGTGTTAATTTCCTAAATTTACCTTAGGCAACTGTTTTTTTCCAATAGGGTAACTACGCTGTCGCAGTTGTTTCACCCATACCAACTATTGCGTTTTCAAAGACTTTTCTTACCAAGCGTCAGGAAAGTCAATCTCAGTGAGGACCAGGACACCCCACATATACTTTCTTCTCCAAGTTTGAAGGGCAAGAGTCGGCAAGCGCCTTCCCGATTGGCCAGTCTTTTCGATCTAAAGTGGAGAATTTAGAATAGATAAAGTCCTATTTTAACGCCTATCGCATCTTTTGATGACGGCCCTGGAAAAAGTCATGAATGAGGTGGACGAATTCACTTCCTACGATCAAGTATTCGCAGATCGTCCTCGGTGAATGTTCGCTGTGCAGCAGATCAGCTTCCCTTGCTTATTTTTTTTTGCAGTAAAAAAACTAAAGTGACCAATAATAACTATTATAAGTGTTCCGCTGTTCGAGCTTGAACCCTGCCTTTACATTGAACATATTTGATTACCATACCTTTCCTGTCCTCTATATAATCATGTTCATCTGAGCCATGATCGCTAATGGATGGCGATAATTTGGGAATTGTAAGATAAAAAAAATATATTAAGAAGCA